TTGCCGACTGGGTCAGCATCAGTGGATCGCCGGTGAATTTCTTACAAGTCGCTCTCAGCAATTGTCACTGTTCTCTTTCGCCTCATCAAAGAGAATGCGTGCCGTGATTAGGAGAAACATGTAGTTTACCCTTTTAACAAAGTAAATTCAGAAGCATAGGAGGACGGGGAGCTTAGTGCTAGAAATTCAAAGAATTTATGGAGAGACCAAATAGAGAAGATGGATTCAGGAAAATAGGTTTAAATAATTGAACAACATAGGAATTTAGAATTTATTACTAAAAAAAAATGTTGCAATAGAGGGAAGTGGATCTGAAAGATCCAGATTCTTTTATAAGTACGTTTTAAAATTTTCACCAAACACTCACTATTATTGCTAAGGTAAAGGGCTTCCTGGGCTTAGAAGCCCATTTTGAGACTACAGAAAGTCCGGACAAACAACCCTAAAACAAGTACATAAAGTGTATACAGATTGGGTCTTCACACGATGTGGGTGGGAATTTCATGTGTCAATTACGGAACAGATTTTAATATCGAGAATTGTTGGAGTTCTTTGAATCCTTTTAGTTTGATTTCACAATAAATTCCCAACTTTTGTGTTGAAAAAATGGACCTACAATAGGAATGTGAGTGTAATTAACCCAAAATGTGAGTGTAATTAACCCAAAGGAAAGGAGAAATTATTAGTTAATCGAATGCCTCACATGAGTTGGTAGTCCTTGAGTGGTAAGGGCTCATTATTCCGGACTCTTTGCAGAAAAGCTCGTTCACTTTTAGGAGAGGGCTTCACTACGTTTGAAGAGGACCATACATTGTACAAGGGAAGACCCAAATTCTATTGGGGTACCTTTTTGCTATGACAGAAAAAATTAGAGAGAACTACTTTTGTGGCTGCTCTTGGACCCTAACTCACGTTCTTAATCCTGTCAATGTGTCTATACAGTGCTTCAAGATCAATTTAAAGCTCAAATGTATTTCAAAAGCATCCAAATTATAGAAAAGGCGTATCTTCTAACAAACAAAATATACCTCTAAGGCATTACTGAAAAATTCATCACAGTAACATCCAGATTCCAGAGTTGCCACAACCCTTTCAAGGAGTACACTCACAATTATCCTCGGAAGTAAATGGCTACAATGAGGACCCTCGCACTGAGATTCCAATCTCATACTCCTCGAATTGAGAGGCTGAAAGGAACTTTTCAATTCAATAGCTATGCATAGTAAGAATACTCTAATAGAGGGTAAAAATCCAACTGTGATGCCTGAGAGGGTCCACCAGCTTATTAAAACAAACTATTACAACCAGGCATAGGGACATATCATATACCAATTACCAAGACCCCTTTTGAGTCTTACGACCAAACCTCTTCTAACAAAACACCAATTATAACATTGCTAAGAGCAATTTCTCCCACACAAAATAGTAAATATATATATATATATATATATATATATATAGACATGCGTTTTCTTTTCAGTAGACGTGTTGGAAACTATTCCCGGACTAAAATTAAGAATCGAATATGGGATCCCGGACTAAAATTAAGAATTGAATCTGGGATCAATGGATTCCACTGTTGCTGCAACATATGTATTTTGAGCAGCAACCGACTAACATGAATCTGCCGAAACAAATCAAAGCATAAAATTAATCATATACTCCATTCGGATAGCAAATTTATTTTAACACCAATGCTCCCCGAAATTGCACTTGTCAAATGCAACCAACAGCCACTACACTCTGACCACGAGTGGCGTCAAATATTCTTTTCATACTATTCTATTTGGTTGAAGAAACCTTTTGTAACCCCCTACAGAGGAAGAAGGGTACACATGCATGCATCGTTGTACAAACACGTCTTCATTTTCCCCCTTACTAAAATGGACTTCTAACTCACAAGATATACCTCAACGAATCACTGAAAATTAAGCTGAATATCATGAACAAGCTCCACTTTCATTCGAGCTTGCCATAATCTTATGCATTAGCAGTATCCCGGAAACAAAAAAAAAACAATTAGATCGGTCTATCAATGTCCATCACACAAATATTTCAGTTAGTACACTAGCAATCAACCGAAAGCAAAAAGCTATAATGAGAACCCTCTCACAGAGTTCCTCTCTTATTGTTATCAGATTGAGAGAGAGAAAGGAAAAGGTTTCGAACATAAGCTTAGTGAGAAGAACGCTCTAGTGACTTATTCTTGACCAAAAAGCCAACTGTGATTCCATAAAAAGAAGGGGATCTCTCGGGAGTCTTTATACCTAGTTAATCTCAAAGCTTAAATTATATATGTAGGAACACAATAGAGCAGCAAACTATTCAACCAGATTTAGGAATATACCAAGCCCCTTTTGAGTCCATGAACCCCTAATACAACACCAACCATGACATTGCTAACAGCAATTCCTCAAACTGAATATAATATCTATTTATATAGCCCCTGGCCGCCTACCTTTCTTCTTGCTCTTCTGGAGCATTTGTGGAGGATCTTGCATTTTCTAAGACTCTTAGCCAATCCAGGAACCCTCAAGGCACTAAACCCTTTCTTGCGCTTGACGGGCAAAGAGAAGAGTTGTGGGCTGCTGAATCTTGCCTAGGCGTTGCAAGTGGCTCACCCAATAGCTGGTGGCTGCTAGGTGTGGGATTCCACCCTTATTCAGAGTTTTCATGAGTGCTTTATGCATTTCAGGTTCAAGCATCAGACTGAGGACCTGCTTATTCTCTTTGTTTCTATTACTCCAGAAAATGGAACTTTTCTTGTCTTTCTTGCGCCCTCTGTCAATCGGAATAAGATCCATTTGCCAAAGATAGTCAAAATGTATATGTTTTGTTACGGGCTGTAGTCGATTTAGTAACAGACTCCCGTTGGAGGGGAGGATATGGTTCAAACTTTGGTAATAGAGGTCGGGGTGGATGGGAGTTTTGAAATGGGAGAAGCAAACCCAGATCTCAATCCAGACAGCCTTCAATGAAACTTCTTCAATTACGAAGCTTTCCCGATTCTTTCACAATCGTTCCAACCTCTTTCGATCAATCGGTATCAAAGGATCGAAATAGGTCAGGCAAATCAATTGGTCAAGAACAGGATTATACATATCAGCCACATAAACCTCCTTCCAATACCTATTTGGCTTTATAGGGGGCTTTGGCTGGTATGTTGGAAACTCTACCGGACCAAAATTAAGTACCGAATGAACATATGTATTCTGAGCAGCAACTGATAAACAGGAATCTACCACAACAAAAGGGAATCCCAAATTAAACAAAAAGAATTGAAGACTCTGCCAGTACCAGAATGGAAATTCATCATCTTAATCCTCAGAAAGAATAGAAGCCTTCAAATTCTTAGTTCTTACCATGCTTCCATCAGAGTATTTGAACAGGAAATAGTGGACAGTACGAATTATATGTAATGCCACTAAATGAAGCCCAGTTCAAAAACTACAGTAAAACATCCCCCCTTCCCTAAATTTTCAAACAATAAATCATAAAATTTGTTAATATCTAGATTTCAAGCCTGGGCCAATTAGGTTATTATTCAAAACACAGGTTGACAATAATAACTAAACTTGCACACAAGCCCTAAAACCTAGGACTCTACAAAGCCTCCAACCAGAGAGTAATAATTGTATATGAATGCTTTACAATTAAGATATCTCTAGAAACAAAGCCAAAAGGGTAATAGGATGGGTATTTTGCTAATGAATTTGGGACTTATTTGACTGAAATAAAGACATGCTTCATGCAGTCATGCATATAATAGGATTGCTTAGTTAGTTATTTCATGCAATGTAATATCACAGCACTAAAAAAATAAAATCAACCAGCTAAACGAGAACCGTAAACATATAAAACCAAAAGCTCTAAAAGGTTCTACATTACTTATTATTTTCCAGATTTCCAATCAGTCAAGCCTTCATAATCAAAAAACAAAAAAGATTAACAGGTTGAGGCCTACCAGTAGAATGACCATAGAGAATAGGACATGAAAAATGGCAGATCGATAACACAAAAATTATTTGAATATTTGTTTTATTTCGGATAGAACAAAAACTTTGACAAACTCCAAGAAATTGAAAAAAAAGATCAATGCAGCTTATTCCAATTAAAACAAAAGAAATAGTAAAGTTATATAGCAATGATCACTTATAAAGAAGCAAACCCTCCAAGACAATCCATGGACAAACTAATATTTTCAAGTGACTAACATATCCTGATAATGATTATGGTGTTTTCTCTAGTCTAAGATATCAATACAAGTCTTCAAGAAATAACATAGGATAATTCTTCCTGACAAACTCATTAATGAAAAATTCATGACAATAAAGCAGCAATGCATGTGGCATTCTGATCCTAGATGTTCATGTGAAAGAAGTACAGTAGCCTAAGCGGATAAACTTGTTATAACATGATTTATGATCCCTCAAAGGACCAAGAACAGCAATACAGAAATATTTTATGCCAATCCAAGGCATTGCAAACATGGTGAGAAGGCAAAAGACAACAAAAACAAAGGAATCCTATTGATTTAAAGGAGGTTTTATCATCATCACAGCTAAATGCCTAAAAATCCCAACTTCTTGGTAGTTGAGGCTTCATATGGAGTTACGCCATTGTTTACTTACTCATCAGCGTCCCCGTGCTACTAGGGTCCAATCACCTACCCAATTAAAATAAACCCTTCATCACTTTTAACAATCTAAAAAAACTTTAACATATGCCTGAAATAACAATTAGATCTTCAATTTTTCATAACAATACCTCAATAAAAAGACAATTTTGGTAATTTAACCAACACTCATTTCTGATTTCAACATCATCAGACGACTACAAATCACTATTCCAACAAATTTCCACAAAATCCACCATCACATTAATGGATAGTTCAATACAAATACACCTATGGCAGACATTCAATGTAAACAAAGCAATCAAAACCATTACATTCATCAGCAAACATAAAAAAAATGTACCACAAAATTTACCAACAGAACTCATCAAATTCATGTGGATAATATTAAATTCCGACAAGCTAATAATATAAAATTATGTCTCCGCATCAAATGGTAATCAATAATCCGAGCTCAAACATTCAAAAATCGGAGATTCATATGAAGTAGAACTACAGAAAATAGATCCATCAAAACGCCAAAACTGAAAAGGCACATTATATAAGTTGAGATTGATAAAACAACATAATATAAAAAACAAACCCTAATTCGTCACAATCATCACAATCAGTCCAGAGGAATCTCGACATCGCCGTCGGTGATATCCTGCTGCATATCCTTGGGGTCTTTGCCATCAACGGTGCACCCGACAGACACGCACGTGCCCAGGATCTCCTTAACTGTCCCACCCAAGTCCTTGGCCATCGATCTCGGCTTCATAATCTTCGCGATCTCGATCACATCGTCAAGCGATATGTTGCCAGTGTGCTTGATATTCTTCGTCTTCTTGCGGTCCCTCTCGGGCTCCTTGAGGGCTTTGATGACCAAAGCGGCGGCGGAGGGGACGACGGAGACTTTCGCCTGGCGGTTCTGGACGGTGAGCTTCACGGTGACTCGGAGACCCTTCCAGTCCTTGGCGGTCTCCTTGGCGATGTCTTCACCGATTTTCTTGGGAGAGAGGCCGAGTGGGCCGATTTTAGGGGCGAGTGAACTCGCCGCGCCGACTTCGCCGCCAGTGACTCGGACGTAGACATCCACGACCTGAGATGGATCGAACTTCGGCGGCATTTTCCGGCAATGTGATGGTGCTTGTAGAGAGAAAAATCAAGGGGAGGCGTCAGAGAAGCAGTGGTTTGGGCATTGATATAAGCTAGGGTTTTGCATTAGGTCGTCTGAAATGACTTGTTTGTCCTTGGATTTCGGTTGGATGGAAGTGGATGACCCGTATTCGTGAGGGTGGGTTGGGTTGTGGAGGCCCAAGTAACCATGGCGATCATGTATATATGGTCTGATAAACAAAATTTATAAATAAAATATATATATATAACATTGAAAAAGAGAAATTTGCCCCTAACAAACAAATGAAATTGAATATAAATAAATATACGTGTAATTATAACACTTCGATTTGAATTGTATTGGTCTTTTTGACACTTAGATAATTCGGTAAAACTAAATGAAATTTTATTCAAATTAATTCAAATATAATTAATGATTTGAATTATTTATGTCATTGAAAGTGATAACTTTGTGATCTTGTCATATCTATTTTTATTTTGACAAAAAATTTAAGAGTTTGTAAGGTATAGAGATATCACTTTTAAAAAATATATGATTTATCAGAATTTATAAATGATTTTTCTTTGCTTATTAGGTAAACAATTCTCACATACAATAATATCAATAAAGTATTGATTTTTATTTTGAAAAGAGAAGTTGAGAGCTAACTCAATAGCCTTCTTACCTCATTATTATACATGGCAAAGTATAGAAAACTCTCTCGACTTATAATTTTTTTCAGTAAATTTTTGTTCATTTTTTTATCAAAAAACCTCCCTCAACTATCGAAGAGGTAAAAGAGTTGATATTTTGATAAAAAAAAAAAAAAAAATGTCATTTTATTTAAATCTTAATTTTTTTGAGCTTCAAAAATTCATATCTCACAAAACCGTATCACCAAATATTGCAAATAATATATGCACAAAAAGCTTGTAAAACACGGATTCCATAAGTATAAGATTTTTTTTTACAAGACTTCATAATCAGAGAAAAATAGAAGAAAAATTTTAGAATTATTCATTTTCATATGGAGTATAACATATATAAAAAAAAAATAACCCCAATAGAGACCGAATATTCATTTTAATTATTTTTTTAAATGATGAGTCTATAAAAGAATGAAAATATTTTGGCGCAAAATGTGATATCTCATTAAATTGATCTCTGTTGGAGCTAATTTTTTTTATATATTCGGCACCATATATAAATGAATAATTCTGAAAATTTTCTTTCAAATATCTCAAGTTTTAATAAAATAAAATTGTTAGAGTAAATTTTTAGATTGGCTATTTTTCTTTGGTTACATTTTTTAATTTCTGAAATCCTTATTTCTTAAGCTTTCTATGCATATATATTTACAATTTTTAAATGTACGATTTGTGGATATGAATTTTTGAATTTCGGGAGAATTGAGATTTAAATAAAAGGGTATTTTGATCCAAATATCAACTCCTTTACTCCCTTCAAATAGTTGAGTAGATTCTTTGGTAAAAAATTAAATAAGAGGATTTATTGGAAAAAATGATACAAGTCGAATGGTTCTTTGATAAAAAAAATAGATAAGGAGTTTATTGAAAAATGTTACTAAGTGAAAGGGAATTTTTTGTACTTTGCCCTATAATATAATCTCTTTAATATAAAAATTGAAAATTTATATTTGGACATAATTTACGAGGCTAACATTAAAGATACATATATATGAATGGTATTGTTACATGTGGGTCCCACATAATTGTGGTTTGCTACTTTCTTCCAAATTAAGTGTGGTCTGGCTCACATTCTTAAAGATGACACTTAATTTGAGATGAAAGGAGTAACAAATAAACACATTGACGACTTTTTTTTTTTTTTTTTTTTTTTGTTTTTTCGGGGTAGTATTACACCATCCATTATATAAAGAAAACAACCAACAATAAATCAGTGGGTGAAAACAATAACATACACAACGATCACCTACCTACACATTTTCTCTCCAATGGCAGCAAGAAAGAGCTACCTTGAGAGACCAAAGTACATCTTTATGGGGAGTGATCTGACAAACAATTCGATCACTTCAGATACCCAATTCGAATTCGATGAAGCCGATGTCTGGAATTCGATTAATTCTGATGAAATAATCGTATCCGAACACAAGAAATCAATACCCAATTCACGAACATCAAGAAAACCAGCTAAATTGATCAGCAGTGTCCTTGATCGGAGATCCATAGCGACATCATTGCCGGTGAACATACCGGATTGGTCCAAGATCCTCCCTAGTGAATACAGTAGAAAGCAGAGGAGTGAGAACGAGGAGGACGACGACGATGAGGACGACAAGGGTGACGATGAAGATGCTAGGCTGCCTCCTCATGAATACTTGGCAAGGACTAGGACTGCTTCATTCTCTGTTCATGAAGGTATTGGGAGGACTCTTAAAGGGAGAGACTTGAGTAAGGTTAGAAATGCTATATGGAAGCAAACTGGATTTGAAGATTAGCAAACATCAAACTATGTACTGTCATATGAATTATTTGTTGGCCTTACATTAATTGTTCTTTGTTGTCACTTGCTAAACTATTTTTTTTTTTTTTTTTTTTTTTTCGGAATTCTGTTTCTTATAAGTTAAATCCTCTGGTTTTTGGGTGTGTTGACTTTTGATTCAGAGGATCACTCATTTATGTACTTATAACTCTGAGAATGTAAGGAAAAAATTTCACTCATCATTTTGTTTATTGGATAGCAATATAGTTTGTGTGTGTGTCAGTGTGTGTATATATCTGTAATTTTGATTTTGGTAGTATATAGAAGGTAGTGCAGAATAGCAGAGTGTAGGGGGCGTTGGGAAAGGGGATGATGAGCAGTAATGGGTTGTTTTTGGAGGTAGGTAAGAAAGACACATGAGAGCTAAAACAGTCCTTGAAGTAAACTTCATTTCTTGAATAATGAATGGATCTAATCTGAACCCCATTTTGTTTGTTTTTGTTTGTTTGGATACAAACATAACTTTTTCTTCTAGGGTTCGTATTTGTCAATGATGCATATGTTGTAAGCTACCAAATATATTGACTTTCAATTATTTTGACTTTGAATTTGGTTTATGAAAGTGAAGTGCAAGTGGAAATCATTATACCATCCTTTTTATTTACCCACAAAATAAATTAATAAATAAAAGTATCCCATCCTTTTCATTTTCTCCCCCTCAAAATTTATCATTTTGTTTTGCTTATTACTCCTAATGCTTTGGGCAGATCAAAAGTAAATGATCGTCTCAATGACAAAAATAGAGTGATTGCAAACCTATCCGTATTATCTTAATCGAGTGCTTAACAAATAATAAATAAATGAGTATACACACCTAATCCTGTTGTAAAAAACAATCAAACAGACAAGAGGGGCTGATTGATTTTGCAAAAGGTTGTTTCATTTGAACTTGTCCTCCATTGCCTTGATTAATGACGAATATAAAATAAATAAATAAATAAAAATCACCACATTGATCCGCATTATCCGTTCATTATGATTAAATAAGTTAAAAAGAACATGGCCAATATTGTGCGCTGATCAAGATTTTGATGCGGAATTTTGCTGATAATCATATTAGTACTTGAACGATTATGTATAAAAGAGGGATTTTTGGACTTAATTTATGTAATATATTGTGTTGTTCCAATTTTTTTATATATAGAAAAGTATTGGATAGTTGTGTTCAACTCTCACTTTCTAATGGGTTGTCACCTTCTACATTACTACTATTTAGGAGAAATATAATAGAATTGTCTTTTATTTTTATTGCAACTTATCTTATCTCTTGGGCTTTCTTGTCGTTGTAACTTTCTTATTGATTTAACATTCCATATGAGTTGCTCCGATCCATTTCCCAATTTGCCTTTCAAGCATAGGGGACGTAAAGTCACTTCTGATCTCTCATAAGAGTATTTGGTAGTTGTGTTCAACTCTCACTTTTCCTTTCATTACCTTCTTTATTATGACTTAAAAGAGATATAATAGGTGGTAGTTATTTTTATCTCTATTGTAACTTACCTCATCCCTTAAACTTTTTTGTCACTTTAAATTTTTTATGGAATTAATATTTCATATCAGTTACCCCGTTCCCGAGCTTGCCTTTAAGCATAAGGAATGCTAAGTCACTTTTTGGTCTCTCCTTATATTTTAAACATGCCATTATTGTGAACCTCAAAATCATGCATTTTGATTCCACAATTTAAAATTTCTCCAGAGGAATAGGACCATGATGTCAAGTGATAAAGCACCATTGGATTAAATGACTTTTTTGACATGTAAACTTTTCTAAGATCACGTTTTACCTCTGACCTTCGACCAACGTGTGTTCGACTTGGAACTATTGTCTCTTTGAAGGTCTTTTGTAATGTATTATTTTTTCGAATGAAACATTTAAGTTCTACTCTGGTTTTTGTAGGTTATGTTGCTTTCAATTTGGGTATATCACATGACTCTTTATTAAGAAGAGTAATTATTCTCAACTTTAGTTGGCTTGCCCTTTTAGTAATGGGAGTAGTAATTCACTTCTGCTCGTCCTTTTAATAAGGAAATGAGTTGTTATCTCGAGTTTCTTTCAACCTTCCCCTCCAATAAGAGGAGTATTAGTCTCGAGTGTCACTCAACTCGCCCCTTTTATAAGAGGAGTAATCATTTCGTTGTTCGTCTTTTTAATATTGGAGTAGTTGTCGATTGCTTAACTTAGCTCACCCCATTAAAAACGAGGTAGTAGTAGTAGCAAAATACCTACACTTCTGATTGCCCCTTTGATGAGACGGTTCATATTAATCTTGAACTTTACTCAGCTCATCCATTTATCCATTTGATAAGAGGGTTTGTAACTACTCGTTATTTAAGGAAAAACGGGTATACCAATGGAGTTGGTCATCACGAATCAATCCTAGAGAAAGGAAGAACATGAATTCATACATTGGGGAAACTTGTATATTGCTAATTGACATGAATTCTTTGCTCGAATCACTTTAAGCTTTTCCTAGCAAAAATTCTAAACAGGAAAAGAAACTTCAAGCATCCGAAAAGGATCTTAACGATCTCCAAAAATTTTAATTTCTAGATATGACATGGATAATTGAGTTAGCTTCCAACTTAAAATTAATCACCTTACAACTCCGAGCATTTTGTGAGATATTCTCAATATACTTAAGCATGTTTTGAATTGTACTGTTACCAGAAAACCAAACCTGTGAAGGCAAATAGAATTAACTTACTGGAACTCAAAATTTTGATCTTCGGATATAATTTGAATAAGTGAATTAACTTTTCAACCTAATTTGAATCGCTTCAAAACTCCGAGCATTCTATGAGATATGTTTAAAATACTAAAGCATTTTTTGAACTATTGTGACCATAAAATCACGATTTTGAAGGCAAATCGGACTGCCTTACTTAACTCCAAAAATTCTCATATTATATACTACCAAAACTATGAGGCTATAACTTCTATGATAGTCATAAGCTATGGAAGAGTGGGCTCCAAACCCTAGATTCACTTGAACCATAATTTTTCAAATGACTAATGATTCCCGACGCCAATTGTTAGATGCAAAATTCTAGATGATCCAAAATCAAAATCATTTTCGCAAAAATAAAAAAAAAAAAAAATAGGAAAAGAAAAAAATGATTACCGAGAGTGGAACCTGCGTGGGGCTACCTGGGTACATTTGGACTATCAAATTAGTACTTGAATGATTATATATCAAAGAAAAGACTTTGTATTTAGTATTATATCGTATCTTTTGAGTTGTCCAATCTCCTTTTTTATAAAAGAGTATTTGGTAGTTGTGTTGAGCTCTCCTTTTTTTTGGAAGAGTATTTGATAGTTGTGTTCAACTCTGACTTCCCTTCTGTTACCTTCTTCAACACGTTTAGGAGAAATGCCGGAGGAGGTAATTATCTTTATTTTTATTATAGCTTAACCTCATCTCTTGGGCTTCCTTATTGCTTTAACTTCTTTTTTTTCATTTTAATATTCTGTATCAGTATACTATGAAAATTCTGTATGATATGAAATCGAACGTCTTCTTACAAAAGAAATGAGAAGGTGATTGAGATTGCCATCAACAATTGGATTCGTGTGTTGTACAGTAAATTGTATTATATTATGTTTATATTTTAGAGTTGTGATAACTCTTTTTAAGCAAGTTAAGGAATACTTGTACAATAAGAAATTGAGTTTGAAGACTCTATAAATATAAATAAAGATAGGTGTGAGAAGTTTAGAGATGGAGAAAAGAGAAAAGATATAGGGGGTTTAAGCTGGTGAGTGTTGTGGGGAGAGTATATGTAATTTCCAAGTAAGTTTTGACATGTGGTTGTATATTCTCTTCATTGATTCATAATAGTGAAATCTCTTTCTCATGAACGTAACCTAGATGTGTATGATTGTTATCCTATATCCCACGAACGTAACCTGAATGTGTATGATTGTTATCCTATATATGTTTGTGTTAATGTAACGTGATGATGCTTTCGTTGTATACGACTAATGAGAGATTTAACTCTCAACAACAGTCAACCGTTGAATGGGTTGAAGGAAGTTAATTATCCCCAACATCAACATGGCGTCAGCCTAGTGCACACCAACAATTAAATTAGTACTTGAAACATTTATAACAAAGAAAACGCTCCTAAAGTATCAACATTGTGCAAATAACTTCTATGGGCACATTTAAGGTAGAGTATGACTAAAGATGGTTTATAAATTATATAAAAAAATATGGTTTTGTGAAATGAACAAAGAAGACACAACTTATGTTTTATGACTGAAAGTACAAAGAATTTCCCCCAATTACAGAGAGAGAATTTCTTTACTCCCAATGTTTTCTAACCTCTTTTCCCTCTCGATTTCCCTTATTTATAGACGGTTACAACCTCCTCTGGCCTGGGCCTTATCTGCTCCCTTTTGCCTGGACTTAACTTTTCTCATTTTAATATGGGCTTCTGTAATGACTTTATGGACCTGGGCCCATCCCGCGCGAACTTGCTCCATTCTGTTTGTCCATACTCGACCTGTCCTTTGCAATACAGATCATACCAAGCCCGGGTCATTTTGGTGTCCTCATCTGCCCCCAATAATCTCTCTCCTCATTAATGAGGGTGAGATTATTGAAAAGACACGATCTTGGTCTGACGGCTCGGAGCAATGACACGAGGAATCAAACGGCTGGCACAAAAACCCAAGCTTCGAGATCTGTAGCGCCACTTTTTGCCTTGACCTTTTGAGTTCCATGTCGCCTTTACTTTTCCTTTTTATAAATTCCGGTCTTTCAACCTTCACCCTTCTTCTTTTATCTCGCTTCTACTTTCTGCTACCTTCCTGCACATTCCGGCGATCCTTTTCAATTTCTCCGACGAGTCTTTCCTTTTCGATTTTTAGCTACTGTGCCGTTGCTGCGTTCATCACGAACTTTCAAGGTCAATTTTTTTTTTTTAAATCTCTCCTTAAAAAGACGCCTTTACTGCCTAGGACTCTTCCCTTTCTTTATGGCTCTCCCTAACCTGAACGCCATTCGATCCAAGAATTATATTCCTCGCGACGTTTCTCTCAGAGTCTATCCAATAAACTTAGACGGGAGATCTGGTGAGGGTCTCCTTCCTGGGGAAGTTTTATTCTCCGCCGTTTACTTGAACGTCATTAGGTTTCCCCTACACCCATTCTTTTGTTATGCTTTCAACAAATTGG